CTGTTAGCATCTTAACAGTCATTACAGTCACAGAGATTCATAAGAAATAGAAGAACTGACATTTAATAAATTCCAATTGAGTTGCTTAAAATAACTCTTTACCAGTGGAAGTATCATGTTCTACGGATTTAAAAGTATTTTGTAAAAGACATTAACCTTTTTGATAAGTACGGCATGTTTTAAAACTCTTTAATGAATCTGTTGTTCTCTTTTTTTAAGGCAATCGCGAGGTTGTTATTCAGCACGCGTTTACTTCCTTACAAATATAACACCTACAACACAACGGTAGCTGACGCTTCGGCAGAATCGCCTTCTTCAGAGCCTGGAAGGGTACACCAATATGTAATTTACTGGGTCAAAGGCTTCAACAGCGCAAACAGAAAGATGAAAATCTGAACAATAATTACACGATCACCGACTTCTCGGAAAACTCACCGTTTTACACTGCCTTCCACCGAGGAAGAACAGCCGCTTAGAGTCGCATATGGTTGATTACTGCACCACCCCACATCAAAAATCAATTCTGAGATACGGGGGCAGATCATGTGTTATCTCAGGGTATTCTTCCCTGGTAGCCATTCTCGGATTTTTGGAATTTATCCAAAAAGCGTCGAGGAATTTGCGCGTTGGTGTTCTAGTCTCCCATGCGAGGATAGCGATTTATAATCCAATGCCGAGGTTAACAGAAAGTCGTTCTTGGAAACTCTTTAATGATGTCAAGCATCGATTTATGGTCATTGTTCATCGTAATCATGTGAATCAGATAACTTTGAAAAAAATTTACTTAAATATAAAATAGAATGCCGATCTATGCCACAATGAAACTTGGTATATTCTGAAAATGAGATTATTTCCAAGGCAAGGTCCATGCCCTCTATACTATTTCGCAGCGTTCGGGCAGTAGAAGCCGGAGCGTTGCATAGATGAATATACTGCAGCAGGATCAGAGTAATTCACCTTTCATTTTGGTGAGGATGCCAATTTTTTCTACGGCAGTGTTTGTGAATTCGAAAGCTTGACATGATTTTAGAAGAGGCTTTGTGCTATTGTTGTAAAAGTTTATGCGACTTCGAAATACTTTGCTTCAAATTTCCTCTTTTGAATTTTAAAAGTAATGTTCCAACCTGAAAAATTTAAAATTTCCCATAGAAGAGCGATAACAAGACACTGATGAATTCTTCGAGGATAACAGCATGTTATGCTGGGATAAACTCCTCTTCTACAAACGATTCGCAACGGTCCTTCATTTTCTTGACTCTCCTAGTGAAATACGACTTTCCGTCGGCGGTGGGCCTCCCGTCTTTTGGCAATAAGAAAGTCCTTCAATAAATAAAAGATTTGAGGGGTTGCGAACATGATAGGATTGTAGGCGAGATTTTGTTCTTCCGTTCTATGGGTATGAACACTATGGATGGTAGTCCGCATTTGGAAATATTTTGCAACTTACGTTGAGTCTATTTCAATATTTCAAACCCGCATATTCCAAATAATAACCACGACTGAAATAAAATAACAGCTAATTGCTAGTCAAACTACCGAACTTTCCGAAAAAAAGCCTTTCCTGTAAATCATGTAAACCAATAGCGAATGGCTTTCTGACCTTACCCCTCCTACCTTAATCTACTTTCACCGGCTATCGAATGAATAAACAACATCTTATCACCTGCCGCCTCGTTGGTTGTCGAATAACTGGCGTTGGCACCAATAAAACTTCTATTTTTCCATGTCGCGTAGAAGAGTGGATTCTGTTCGCTCTAGAGACTCATTGAGCATCAAGTCATTCTTCTACGGTTTCCGTGAAGAACTCTAGGTCGATGGTATTCCTGCAGTACGTTTGACATTCTGACGAAGGTAATCAATAACGGCTCCTATGTCTCCCTTGTCGTTCATACGCATGTACAGAACGGTATCTTAGATTTCTGATCGCCGACATAGACCGCACCTTCGGATCATTTACTTCGCTTGCGTGATACGGGATATTTCCTGCATCGTTCTTTCGAATGCGCGTTCAATAACGTTGAGTGAACGTGTCCATCCTGCTTACACTGCGACCAGGTTTCTGAAGCAGAAGTTAAGGTAGAAATAATCGTGGAGTCGGAAACTTGGGTATGAAGTTGGGTGTTCTTTGTTCTTTTCGCTACATCCTCGATGTTCCTGGAAACTTCCCATGCCGTTCACTTTCTCCGGCTCAACTCTGGAGCTTCTTTGCTAATCATGTTGGTTTCCTGACCTAGATAGACGTAGCTGAATCATTCAGAGATGTTCGTTACGTTGAGCGTGAATGGGGCATGCATAACCAAATCGTTCCTCATAAACGTCGTTTATTTGGGATTCAAACGATGACCAATCTTCCCACAGGTGTTATCAAAGTCGGCAAGCATTCGATCCGCTTGGCTAATGTTTGGTGTTACAAGAACGATGTCATCAGCAAAGCGAAGATGGTGTAACTGCCAACCACCGATTTTCACTCTCATATTATCCCATTCCAGTGTTCGCATGACGTTATGGAGCGTGGCGATAAATAATTTTGGCGAGGTGGTATCGCCTTGGCTAGTCATTTGACCTCGATGTCAATATCGTGTTAGATTGACGATATTTTGGTTACAAATTTTTTATACAGCTAACGAAGGATCTTTATATTTTACCAAAGGCTTCGATGCTTGCTTCTATTTCAACTGAGTCAGAAACCTTTCTTAATCGATGAAAGTGAGACAGAGTGGTCTTATGTAATCTCGCGATACTTCAATGAGCCTTGTTATCGTGTGTATGTGGTCCATCATACTAAATCGTCCTCGAAATCCCACTTGCCCACATGGCTGCCCTTCGACCAGTGTTCTGCCAATCCTGTTTAGGACGACTCGAGTGGAAAGTTTGTATACGACCGACAGCAAGCAGATTGGGCGACAGTTGCTGATATTGTGACCGCGATTCCTGAACAATAACAAGGTGTTGCTGCTCCTCCACTGAGTACAAAGCTTGCATTCATACACGTAACGTGTGAACAGCCAAGCCAGTGTGTTCATGAGAATTAGCCGATGGTTCTTCATGTGTTTGGATATTATCCTGTCCCGATATGGTGTTGTTCGATTTTTCACACGAAATAGCATGTTGGATTTTGGAAGAGAAAACCAGTGGAGCCGCATATCCATCCTCATTTATTTCATACGAAGGCAGGAGGATGTGGCTATTGAAGAGATCTGAGTAGTGATTCCGAATAAATTTCTCCATTGAATTTCAGATGGTCCTAGCTTGAGCGATTCCATGCTGCGTATCTGCTCGAGGTTTTTGGGAACAGATGTCCCTTGGCAACCAGCGAAATCTCAGCTTTCGCAGGGATAACGTGAAAATGTTGAATGAACTGGTGGAATTCCTCGCTGATGTTACTAAAAACAGAATCGTCCTAACGGCCGACTAGAGAACTGAATAGACCTCAGTTTACGGTGGTGTTTGGAGTTCGTTCAAGGTACATATCGTCACCTTAGTCCTTTGCGATTTAGCGAGCACAGAATGACTCTGAGATTTTAGTAGCGTCTCTGTCTTCGTCTTACCACTCGACGCTTCCAAACCGGGGGCTCTTTCAGGGTTAGAGGAACGATGATTATTTTACTGTGTTTAGCGCTTGATACCCACGTGTAGATTGCTGCGCTCTGAACGTGGGGGCTGAATATGTTCATGGGTAGCTTTCCAGTCTCTCCTAGAGTAGGCAAGTAGCATATTTGTTGGAGGCAAATTCTAACTGCCCCGCATATACTTCCCTGTCACTTGATTGCAAGCTTTTGGCCGAATTGACTCGTAGAGTAGAACCCGCATAAACGAGGACAGACCTATGCACACATGCATGAACACGTTCCCGTAAATAAGGAAGGCATCTGCCAAATCGAGGCAGCAAAAACACGAAGACCGTTTCCTGGATCCAACTACGTCTTAGGAAAGCTTTCGATTCGCTACTAACCCCTATTTTCCACCTCAAGGCGCGCCACGTTGCCTCACGGGTAATAAGCATGAGACCCCTCTATGAAAGAGATTCGAGGCCCATGAATAAACAAAAGTTCTAAAACCTAGTAAACCAAAAATGGGCTTCATAGTGTTCATAGTGTCCACTAATGCCGCCCTTATGGACACTATAGAGTCCACACTGCCGCAAATTTGTTAATAACGTATTCGTCCGGAAAACGTTTAACGACAAAAAAAACGTTCCGCGCGTTGCATATAGTGAGAATCTACTTTCAAAGAGGAGAAAACTCATATCTCTTGGAAAGATGTACAGATTATAATGATTATTATTCTAGTCTACAACGCTTAATATAAGCTGAGACGTGCGCTTCACGCTGGGAATGTATTATTTTTAGACTCTTTACCATTGAATTCAAAGCGCATCGTCTTGAATGCGTTATGAAAAAGAAATACCGCTTCATATACACCTTTCCATCTGTGATAGCTAGTAACCTGACCGTCCTCATACACTTCATTTTTGAGTTTTATTTTCTCATTATCTGAAGCATTACTCGTTTTTACAAAAGAATACATACTTGTCGTCTACCAATATTCGTATTCACGGATGATGTGTTATAAACAAGGACTGCCTTCATGTTTACATGGCCAAATAATTTACGCCGAGGTTCATCGTTTAAAATACTTGTTTATCCGCAGATTTAGATTATATCAAACGAGCATAATGGCCAATACGAAATGATGTTCACGGACCGCAATGGAGATCTCCTCATAAGTGACGACCTCACGCAAGAGAAGAACAAGTACTCACATTGTTGTGGAATATTGTGACTCCATGTATCTTTTGTATAATTTAAAGGAAAGTTTCATTTTTACTTCTTATGCATGAAAAATAGTAAATACAAGAACATTCATGTACGACAGAAATAACAAGTAACGAAGTAAAAATAGCTATCTATCTTCTAGCTTATGCATGACAGTCTTGGGAGAGAAACAATGAAATGACAACATTTACTTCCAAAATATCAAGATTAGTAGCCCGAAAGAAATCAAATTCCGAAAAACTCTCCAATCTTCTTTCTATCGCGATTAACAAAAGTACTATTCACATTGAGTTTTCCCTGCTGTTGCTTCAGCTTTTCCAAATCTTCCAGCTCTTCGTCCATATGGAATATATTTGGATAAGTAAATTCAAAATCCTTGCACTATAATACAAGAATTAAAGCGATGTACGGAAAACAACCCAGTAAACGAAGTTCAAATTAAGGACCCATTAATTCTGCTAGTAGCAAAGTCTATAATTCACTAGATTCTTTGAATGGTTCGACATTAGAAAATAACTTATGAATTCACTATCCGAATTTGAAAAAAGCAGAACGTACGACGCTAACGCTACATTATTTGTCTTCATACCCAATTTCTCTTGTAAACTGACGAAGTGTATGATTAAAAAGCATATCGACGCTAACCATGAAAACATATGCGAACTTCTTGTCGTCGTCCTTCCACATCGCTTTTCTGTTTTGGTAATCAGCAGGGGTACTCCATAAAATATCACCCATTTGCACCTAAAACTAAGCAAGCAACAGCTTTATTTCACACTAACATTGCAAAGAACAATAAAGCGAGAAAACGCAAAATAATCGGACACACCTCCGTTCGTACACTTCTCACCGGCAAATTATAAATCTTCGTGAGGTACTCCTTGATGTCAGTTTTCGTCATTCTGTTAAAGAAAAAGAAAAAGAAACTTATTTAATTGGACAGATAGTGGTAAAAGACATAAAAAGTCGCGCAATACGCAGTTTAACATCGTCAACGTATCCAGTAGACTACCACTACGGTACGGCGGCGCGAAAATTGTCAACACCGTCAATCTCCACCAACCTTGTTCAGATACTGTTCTGATAAATCACAACGTGTAAATAATACCTAGGTTACGACATTCACATACAAGCTAAGATCGATAACTTAATCTCAGCAAGAAAATTTGCCCTCACCTTGGATCTACCTGAAATTTAACACAATTTTTAGGCAGTCTGTGCTTTCCAACAGAGGGACTTGTGACTACGGCCAACCAGAAATCCGGAAGAAAGATATAATTCGGAGGATTTCCAGGCTGCCAAAGACGAGCAAGCCGAGTTGACATCCTGAATCTAAACTAAACAATTAATCTCTTTTGTTAGTAAATAGTTGCTACTCGCAAATTACCAAATTTACTCATATTTATGGTAAATAGGCATAGCAGTAATACCGAGAAATAGTGTAGAGCTAAATTCGAAGATATTAAAGCTAAAGCATTTATAGACTAACGTAATCTAACTCAAACAAAGCATAAAAAACATTTATTAAAAAGGAAAGAACAAAAAAGATAAACAATGGACCAATTTAAATCCACAACTATAAACGGCTTATGCAAGAACGGCAGTATTTAATCACAACTCATGGTGCTCAGATGCACTTGATACGTTCTTCTGCCTACCCTTACTTAATACGTTCTTTATTTCAGAATCATATTCTCTCCATTCGGGAATAATGCGAATCGCAGAGTCCAATTTTGGCTCTTTTGTCAAGGGATTGTTACACTGGAATCAGAATAACATCGACGGGATATTCGGCTACATAAATTCCCTTTAAGTATAAAAAAACGTACGAGATCGATTGTTTTTGCTTTGTCCTTGGAGGAATCATCACACCACGTCTCACACCATAACCACTGTTGCGGCAAGGATTTTATTTTAACCTGGTGGATCATGTTATTTGGAAGGTCCTGAACAAATGCTAGAAAGTCGGTTATCAGCTATTAAAAACAACAGCAAAAAAACTATCAAAGACCTGATCAAGGTTCGATAAACTGTTCGGATCGCTACTAAGACCTTGATACTGACCACGTAGACGGTCTCCAGCCGCGATTTGTCGAAACTTTTGCAAGTCAATAACATATAGCGCGCTGCAAGCAAAATGTACATGAATAGCCTAGCCGCCTGGTGAAGAAACATGCGCCCACCTAATATGGTATCGCCGCCCTGCCAAATGATTAGCCCAATAGCCTTGTTTCCAGAATCGGAAACCATCCATCTCCTTACGACTATCACAGAAAGGAACATAGCTAAATGACGATGTATCAGTATGCCTCACACTTAGAGAATTATATGGCCCGCCTTCACAAACAGCATATATTCCACCAAATTTTACACTCGTCGAACCAGCAAGTTTTCACGAGGCTTCTTGGGATACCCAGAAACCCGTTCTAGTGTAATCATCAAAAGCAGTCAGTTCCTTTGCGAATCGGAGGGAACATGGCTACATTGTGGAACGAGTAGGCTCGCTCCAGGAGAGTAGTGAATCCTGGCATAAGTTAAGTAAAGATCCACGTACAAATGCCCAATTGTGCTGCCCAAGCTTATGCCCAATTGAATTTAAAATATTCTCATGCAATGAGAGCCTTTTATAATAATCTACTACTTTCGACCAACCAATGGATGTGGCAATGGAAATACAAAATACCGAAATATTCGATTACAATGAATCAAAACGTGATCATAGATGGTATTCTTCGAAGTTCATCACTAACCCGTAAGGTGCACCACCAAGATCAAATTCCATTAATTCCATAAGGTCAGCACGGACAACTTGATCGGCATCCACAAATATAATCTTCTGCACATCCAGAGGAAACAGAACGTCAAGAAAGAGGATCTAAATAACGCCACTAAGACGGTAAATTAATGATCGCGAATACACGTAAGCACAAAATAGCTCACTTTGTAACCCCACATGATTCTATGCTTCTCTTTCTGTTGATGCAACCAGCGAGGCCACTTGTATTCCACGAGGGAATAATCAAATCCATATTCAGATGCTAACACAGGCAAATTTCTCTAAACGAAAAATCGGCAGACTCAAGAAGCAACGATTCAAACTAAACATACCTTAAATTGAGGAGATAAATAATTTTTTAATAACCAGAATTTCACTGGCTTTCGAGTATGCTTCATAACGGAGAGCATCATAATGTTCAAAAATCTTTCGTAAAGATGACCAGATGCCAGAGAAAATACATTGATCGTCTCATGTGTTTCTCTATTCAGACTGAAAGAAACTGCATTGTTTGATAAAGAAGTGACATTACAAAAGAACTAATGCATCACGTTGTTCACTATGAGGTGTTCGATTTAGCAACATGAACGTTTCAGAGTTTCCAATTTAAAAAACAAAGTAATCCACGAATAGATAAACTGTTGAAGCAAATGGTCCGCTTTCTCTTATGTTACAACACTTCCTTAAATTTTTTTTCTTTTTTTGGTTTCGTGAGTTTTCTACACGCCTTTTTTAGCATTAAGTAGAATTACAACCAATCACCAAGTCTCAAAAAAAAAACTAAAATTTGGGGTGAAAATTTGTCTCACTCCATATCCCCAGCTCTTCACAAGTATACCACATTTTGATGCACAGTTTAGAAAGATAACGAATTGTTCACTCAATTACGAAAATATCGTCAAACATTTCTAAGTGTTTGGTGCTGCATTAAACTCACCTTCTAACAGTATGAAAAACCAAGTGAACAAGATATATTTCAAGCTAACTAAAAAATTATGAAGAGGGAGCGAATTCCTAATTCTATAAAGTATATTCGAAGCCCATAAACAAAGACTACGTTGACAAAAAAAGAAAACGCCTAAAACACAGCTAAGTCGGACATTTCGAACAGAATAATCAATACAAGCTTCCCCCTTTAGTGACTATATTTAAAACTTGAATTGCAAAATTGTTTAAGAATCGCTGTCGAACAATCATAATGGTAAGAACCGCCGGAATGTACAAAACGACTAGCTAAGAGTACCTGTTGCTAATAGAACTCCAAAGGTTGCCACTATCGTCACTTTCGTCTGATAGGAGGCTACGCTGTTCCATTCCTTCCTTTTTCGAAACGCGTAGACGAATTGTTCTACCAGAGAACGAATCTACACAAATACGTAGTAGAAACGCGCTTCAAAATCTTATTACACCCATAGCGAGCTGCTCACCAATTAGAACACTAATGGCCTGGCCCTTACTTCCTTCGGTATTGGTATGGCTAGAGATTTCATAAATCTCTCTTGATTTCCCCTCGCGTAGTTGCAACAACCAGGCACAAGGATTGGCCTTGATACAAAATCAAACGTGTATTATGACCGACGCTAAGTCAAAACGTGGATTACATACCTTTAGCTGAAAATATCCGAGATTCGCCATCACAATAGTGTCGAATTGTGTAGGATCACTAGCAGTTCCCAGCACAAATTGCAATCCACGGGGTGGTGACCCCGATACTTCATCAAAGCAGTGACCTTCCAAGAGAATATGCTCTAATGAGAAGAGTGCTACTACGTCCGAAGAAACCTAATTTACACAAGTTCACTATTTAATCAGAAAACCGCAAAAAAATGCAAATAACCTGCTCCATTTTAATGTTATCAAGATCGTATTCTGCAAAAATGTTTTCTACCATCCATGCATCTGGGGATTTAATTGAAAGTGTCAGCAACTGCTTAGAAGGTAGGTCAGTGAACCTGAAAATATTTGTCTAGGTCACGCTTACGATAGGAAGGATATAAGTAACTGTTCAATTTCTCCTAATCATGTTATGTCTTCAACTATTATTCCGATCTCGCATGTATGGTGGTACTTATCCTATGCAGTGTTATAAATCATTGATTAAAACGCGTGTCAGCAAAATCTCCGTTTATCCCTGCCATCAGAAGTACTCAGTGCGTGCTCGTTTACAAGAAAAGTACATTTCTAGTATAAGGCCGTTTATTTTCACTGTTTCCGGGACAAAAAAGTAACCACCTACGAATTTTCGAGATTTGCCAGTACATACTAAACCGGACACCTCAAAGTGCTAACCGTTTTCGCAGTTTAAACAATGACTCAATCTAATTTTCAGCTAAACTTTGCAGGCTTCACAATTATACCTGGCCTGATTCACAACAATGTTACCATATTTATCGAACTGGAATTCAGGTGATACAACATAGCGGTAGAATCTGAAATAATAGCATATAAGCCACATATAATTTAGTAAAATCAAGCAAGAATACTGAAGGGAACATAAACAGAAAAACACCATTCAGCGGATAAATCAGTTATGAACGAAGAAAATATTTCATACGAGCTAAAAATACCTTTTAAGCGGCATTTCACTAAGCTTCGGTTTCGGATTGAGTACTATTTTTAGATCGCAGTTTATAGACTTGCGCAACAATTCGAGTATTGATGCGAGCTTTTGAGCGCTTCGGGATAGTGGATCTACTACTGCGACGACGTCCATAGTAGCACGTTTTGGTTCCTCAGCTATTAGTGTCACTGTACTGTAACGAGAAGATTGAAAGGAAAATAAAAAGTCGAAAAAATGTACAGAAAAAAACTGTACACCTATGTTTGTCGTCACCCAATACAATCCATGTCCTCTTCCGCTGAACAGCATGTTTTAGTACCAATGCAAAGCTTCGCATGACAACATCTGACGTTGCACCGTCTTTATCAGGCTTCCATTTGTCAACGTGAGATGCAATAACCTGTATAAATACTGCAAATAGTATTGTCGCAATTTTCGGAAGAAAAGAATACGGTTCACAAACGTACATCAGCTCCTCGCGATTCAACAACTTTTTCAATCAGTGCAAAATCGTGCTCAACAATTTCGTCTTCTTCATCAAATGGCCCAATAATCATCCCATTGGCGACAACAGCGCGTTGATTAGATCTCAATCCAACTACCTCACGAGCAAAGCTAGAGCGGTATTTCCTTCATTAACTAACTGATTAAGTCATAACTCCAACAGCACAAATACAGTAATAATTTTTAGTGGGCAAATAAATAAGAACAATTAACAGTAGGAGGAACAAAATAACAATTACTTACTTGATACTTGAACGGCCCATCCTCACTAGTTGTGCGGACCCCAGCACAAACACCATTTTTCAGAGCTTTGCTAGTTAAGCCATTGTGGTTCCCTGGAATCCCAAGGACAGCCTAACCAAAGTCTGCCCCGGGTCGTCACCACGACAGGCAGTCGCAGCCCTTGTGGATCAGAGGAAGATTTGCCACCATGCAACTTTAACACCAAAACGGTGATGTATCTTTGTATTGGTTTACTCTTAGCTAGGTTTCCTGATGGAAACGCCAGACACCTTAGCTTGGGAAACTCTGCCGGGAGGACGAAACACCCGCTGTACATCACAGTCCGACACCCGGGAACACCTCCCAGCCACGATAAGGCCGCAAACCGTTGGGAGGAATAACAATTAGCAAAGAATTAACAGCAGCACGGTGATGACAAGTACTCACGTGCTCTCCATTTTAATTGTATCACATGATAATAATTTCCTCTCCTTATTGAAATGATCCACGTCCATACCACCAACAGCGAGATCTTCTAACCGTTTAGTACCCATTTGAAGAGCATCTGCGAACTCCGGCTGAAAATGAGATTGAATTCAATACAATTTTTTGCTAAACGATAAAAAATATCTCAAAATCAAACCTTTACAAGTTTTGTGACCAGCTGCTTGGCTTGGTTATGAGGAAGTAGTTTGAGTGCTGCTTTAACAAGTAAAGAAACACTGTTTTCCTCACACGCATTACAGACACCTGCTGGATTCATGATAATCCCAAGCTAAAAACCACTTAACTAGGAAGTCCTAGTGAATAAGAACCTGTGATTGAGCTTTTGCAATAGGATTTGTAAAAGGATTTTAAAGCGCATCAATCATAGACCTAAAATGAACACTAAAAGTCAGTTATCCTTCCACTTATTTTGTTTTCTCGCAGCATGCGAGTATAAAACTTTGGTATGTATAACACAATTTTAACAGTGCAAGAAACTAAGAGGATTTCCTTAATTCTAAGCAATTTGTTCATTTAAAGAGGTTTGTTTTGCTGGCGGTATAATTTAAACGCTAAACGAGATTTTAGTGTAACAGAAAGTCTAAACCACAACAGTAGCGAACTAAAAACATACACGCGTCTTCTTGCTGTGTTTCAAATGTCTTATAGCATTGTATACTATCTCACGCCCTTTTGCTGTCTCCAAATCAGCAACTACCCACAAAGTGAGGGGCTGAAAAGAGCTGTACTGAATGCCAATTTCCTACAAAGAAAAAAGACCAAGAAAACAGAAAACGATATACCATTGTAAGTTCGTCCTCGCCCTTTCTCAAATATTGCATCTCCTCTATGATGCACTGTACTTTTCGAGAACTTCTGAGTTCGACAAATTCAGACAATGTCTTCGCTTTACATGCTAAAAGACAAAGACAAGATAGGCAAAGTTGTTGAAAAGGGAGAAGTATAGGTTTCTAACACGACGTATCCGTTAGCTCAAGAAATTTCTTTTGTAACACAGCATCGAGAATACGAGAATTAAGGCGTGGTACAACATCCTTCTGTTCCATTATCCAATTTCCCACATTCATTCGGTCTTTCAGGTGACCTAATATTAAAGCGATTAATGCCTAACTGTAGAAAAACAGCTGAAATCACTTGTCGATTCCCACCATTTATTACAGCGTTCTGAAGTTTTGGAGTGATGCGCATCACTTCCAGCATCACTGTTTCTTCAAATCTATCACCAGTAATCTGAAAATGGTGAGTAAAAAACTGTATTAGAAGACTAAATTGAACCTTTTTGCGGTAACTGACACCAGCATCATGGAGTACATATCCATTTAGAAGGACCTTCGGTGCCTTTCCAATTCCAGAGAGCTTCAAAAATTCCATTCCAGTCTAGGAACACTAGTGTTAACTTCAAAAAGTGAGAAAGCATTGTCGTCACCGTTCTGCTCTGTCTTACCGTTCGCCCATTATCGTAGTCAGTCTTTGGTCCAAATACGTCCTCATACACGGCATCGCGATAGTTTGACTCAAACCACGCCTTGATGTCAGCAAGGTCTATAATCTCATGAGTTCGGTACGTATCAAGCATCTAAAAAAATTCTATCGAATTCCACAAACAGAAAAGAAACTTCGTTAAACAAGACTTACTTCGTTAACGGTTTGAAGAGCTTCATGATAGGAACTGTCTACGGCAAGAAAATTGAAAAGATTAAGCACAGCAACCCCACTATCATTTAATCCACTTACATCCTTACTATCGTTAACAGCAAAAACAATCCCGATTCTGGAAGTGAAAGAAAAATAATAAATACATATATTTAACCTACGGAAAACAACTTACCTGAGGGGAATTTCATGCATATAGAAGGCGTGTGCTATTTTCATCAGATTACGACTACTCTTCTCAGATGGATCGACAACAAATATCTGACAGGTCACATCGAATGTAACTTGGCTGCTATAACAAGAAAAAACGACACTCTTACCAAAGTAAAAAGATTCCGTGCTATCGGTCGAATCATCCCGGGATAATAAGGCTCAAGTAATAGTTTGACACTATTTCTCCAATGTTTATAGCGAATATCTGTATCCAAGTTATTCAAAAACTGAAAAATACTGAACTTCAGTTAGATGAATAAAAAAAAAGAAGAAATTGAGGTAATTTCAACCGAATAATACTGTGTCACGGTAAGAAGCAACTTTTCACGTAGTGCAACTTTACCATAGGAAACGCGTCTCTGTAGTCCACAGCGTAATTCGTTTTCTCCTCGGAAAGTTCCATATTGACAAGAATAGACAAATACTCGCGCTAAAAACAAAATTCGCCTCGTATGGGTGGATCCAATCTTAACACTTCTCTCTACTTCACGAATTCCAATGCATGGCGCAGGCAAATGCACATATATACCTATGTATATACTTGGACATTTGGACGGCCCGTCCTCGCCGGTTGTACGGGCCCCAGCATAATCTCCATTTTTCGGAGTTTTGCTGCCTTAGCTACCGTATTTCCCTGAAGTCCCGAAGTCAACCTGGCCATAGTCTGCCCCAGGTCGTCACCACCACAGGCAGTCGCCGTCCTTGTGGACCAGAGGGAGATTTGTCACCATACCATCGTAACATTAACATCTTAACCATAACATCTTGATACCAGGACGGTGGCCGATCCTGATATTGATTTACTCTTAGCTAGGCTCACCGATGGAAAAGCCGGACTTATCAACTTGGGAGAACCTGCCGGTGGGATGAATACCCTGCTGTACATCGTAGCTCGACACCCAGGAACACTTCCCAACCACGTGGAGGGAACAAACCATTAAGGACACATATGTATATAAGTATATACATATATATGTAGATATAAGTATATGCATGTATAATGTATGCATACAACACATATACATGTGCACACATAAGAAATCCGGTATTGCAAAATCACATACTTTGATGCCCATATTAAAAAACCCAGCTGACACCCGCTCTTCTTGTTTTATCACATCTACCAATTGAAATGCGTCCAAGCTGTCAATGTCAAGATTGATTCCATTGAGGAATAATGCCGATTCGCCTGCCTCCAAACCTGCACAAAGGACACAAGTGATCACTCCGCTAAAGCTCCGCATATTGTAAAAGGTACTAAATATCGAAAAGAGGAAAACAGAGCCTTACCTGCATTTAGTAGATGCTCCTTTTGGTTAACCTCAATCTCTTTACGGGTGTTTTCATCAACAGGCTGCCGAGAAATAGACCTTGAAAAAAAGATAACTACAAGAATATGCATAATGTAATTAAAAATAGAACCATTAAAAGTCACACCTTGCATGACGCGGAAAATCTTGTGATAACTGTTTTAACATTTCAATAGCACTATCATTACCTCTGTTAATGATAAGTTGGGAAGCCTGCAATAGCAGTTAATGAAACAAAAAAAAACAAAACACATCAGTGCAATATCTAAAATTCTCATCGGAATACGACATTGGAAAATAACAAAGTCAGTCAATACTCTAATTAACCTTGAAGGATAGATCTTGGACCTGCCACTGTTTCAACGGAGCCAATTCTTGTATTTCTCTTAAGTGCATCTTGAACGCATCAAGGGAGTCGCTTGAGTCCGGATGGAGCTCCCTAATAAAAGTTCATAGCAAAAAAGAAAAGATATTCGGATGCTTATTAAATATTAATAGACAAGAAGCTATAGATTTTACAGGAACAACGCATTTAATTTACTTGAGCAGTTTAAAATTGAATCCATGTAAATTTTCTTCATCACGTTCCGTTCCTTCATCTTTCTTTTCATTGCTATCATCTACCGCTTTGTATTCCGTATTTTTGATAGCCAGTTCGACTCCATAACCCGAAAGAGATACCTTCCTCGTGGTGGATGTTGCCTTTAAAGCGTTTATTAAGAGAAAGAAAAAGAAAAGCAAGTATAAAAACTTACCACATTATAATGTCTGAACACATATCGCAATTTTTGAGCGTTGGCCAGTTCCACAGCCTTTTCGTGAAGTCGTAACCAAGGCTTTGAACCAATTTCTCCATAAACTACAGCGATTACGTCGGCTTCCTTGCCCACGTCAAAAACGTGATCGACAGAAAGGAGTTCCGGAGCGATTCTTAATTGAAAATGTTTTCGGACAAATAAATCCACGTGAATACAAAAGTAATAAGTAGCTCCAGCAGAAATAAATTTGAAACAGCAGGACTTCCCATTCTCTTTAAAACAGCCGCTTAGTGGCTCGTTGTGGTGAACAAGTTTAAGGATAAAGCTCTCGGCGTTGATCAATGCCTGAAGAATGCGCCATGCATTCGACTTCATTAAGCATCGTTGGAAGTGATTGAATGCATATCTGATTTCTACAACGACTAGCTGCGCCCTAACATGCATCGAACCAGTGCTGTTTCCTCCCAGACAAGTCTGGTACCAAATTGCCGACCCCGAAGGGACGGAAGGCTTGGTGAGCCATGGGAGCGGGAAATCGATCCAGTGTGTATTTTAGGGCGCCTCCGACCACTGGGCCACACGCGCACTGAGGCGAAATGGGTACAATGAATTAGTACTATGCGATATTTTGACAATTGTCACTCAACAGTTAAGCGATGGATTTTTAAAGCACTGGTATTCGTAAAACACTGCGTGATAAACAGAATAAGTTATATGGAAGAATTCTTAAAATCTCAACAGAATTCAAAGAGAAAACCTTTCTGTGGCTGTTTTAACAGCACTTTCCAGCTGGCTCGGTTCACATCCTGTTATTCCATGGACATCAAAGAATGCATGACATAGCACCTCATGATCGGCACCAATCTGAAACTCTGAAAACGTAGCTCAAGCGATAGCAACCGAATAACGAAGCACGGTGTGTGTTGAAAAAGAAGATAACAAACCAAAACCACTACCTTTTGAAAAAGCTGTACGGCAGGTGAAAAGACCCGAAGTGACAATGAAAGCTTCAACAGATCCACAGAGGCCTCAGATAGCAATTTAGAGGCCTGATGAAGGGAGAGCTCGTATTTTTGCTCATCAGTTGCTAAAAATGTGAGTTGTTTAACATGATCGAAGTGTGAATTGCGAAAACCAAGAAAGTTATGATGACAAGTGAACCTTTGTCGCAGTCAAAAGAGGAGCATTTTTCCGCTACATAACGAATAAAGGTCCAGAACAACTGCTCGTGTTCACTTGAGAGGAATTCACTGAATAGTAACTATGTAAGAAAGCGACAAAGCACATTAGAGTTCTTAAATCGCTCCTCGTGAAAGAAACCTGAATAGCATCGCCATCGCCCTACAAACATGCTAAAAGCAACATACATCTGGGAAATACCTTACAGGCAGGGGAAGGCCATATAAGTTCGTAAACAGCTCCTTTCGTTTCAATCAGAGTCATTTGGTGGAGAATGGAAAAATCACAACAGCCGCTATTTTACATCAAAGCAACAGGACATGTCCTACCTTACTAACTGAGTTAAATAACCCTGGTTGATAACTCCAGCACAGAAATTGGGCGAGAAGCGTTTAATATTTGCGGGCCATGCCAACAATAGACTTCTAGGACAAGTTAAACGAAGCCTTTCAGGGCTAATTACCGAGCGAAAAGAAGGTCGTGTTTGAATTACTGTCTAAATTTTACGTAAAAACAAGGCCGAAATTTTGAAAATGTCAAGAACTTCATAGTACAAAAAACATTTCTACTCTAGCAATCCCAAAAATTCCCTTACAAGCCGATTACGGAACACCATGATCAAGAAAGCACTTGGTCACTAACTAAGAAGAAACGTAAGGAAACCCACCTCGTCTCAGCAATCAGAGACGTTGAATTCCACTTAGAAATGACAGAAGCAATAACGGATTTTCCCGTTGAATCATTGGCAAATGATGAGCGACTTATCAAAGAAACAACAAAGAAAACTGTCCGGTACACCAACATGAAAATGCGACACTGAAAGACGGGAAACGAAACACTAACCGCATGTTTCAGAAGGAACTCGACAAATTGGATATCACGCATTGTGTTCAATGCACTGGCCACTTGTACGTAAAACTGCTTAATACATACACATCCTCCAGTGGAACGGTCGCTACTGACATAGCAGACAAACGATCTGATCAGAAATTAGGCTGAATTTTAAAAAAAAAGGGCTTATGCTGACGATGTTTGGATGCGCCACAATTTTTCGTGGCGCCGTTACTCTGGTTCCGTATAGTGGACGGTCGTAGGATAAATTTTTTCGGTATGCCAGCCGGGGTTTCACCAACAAATCAGAGTTTTTTATCCATGCGGGTTTTGTGATCCATACGGGTTTTGTGGATTGACGAGTACGTTGTCAGCGAAATGGTTGACAAGTTAACACTCATGTGACTAGGGTTTCTGAACGAACTTTGTTGCCGCGGTAGTAGATGACGTCGTTTTAAAGTTCATTGTAAAGTTGTTCGTGTTGCAGTGTTTCTTCCAATGTGCTAAAATCGACATTTATTTTTGTGATTTTAATTGTTTTGGCTGTTTTCCTGTCCAACTTGAAGTATGTTGGTCTAACCGTTCTGTCACTTTCACTCTATACTGTCCGCTTCAGCTACGTGCACAACAGGTATGTGATGGGATCTTTTCTAACGTTACTCTGGAATTAGTTTTTACTCCATTGTACTTTCAGGTTGTGCACTTCTGGTCTAACGACAAGGCTATGGTCGATAGTAACGGGAATAGTCAAAGTTTGTGAAAGCTTTTCGCCATCAGTACCTCTTGAAGACCAGCTCGAAGCGAGGTTTTTCTTACAGGGCGTCATCACTTCGACTTCCTATGTGGTTGGGGTGCGGGATGTATCGAGACCTGTATACTTTTCCCTTCGAGCAAGGTGATCTTTCGTCAACAGTTGCATGGATTCTCGGCAAAAGTCGCCTATTCACAGGTTAGTTTCGTTTGTGCTACGTAGCATTCTGTTCCCAAAAATGTTCTTTCTTTCTTTCTCTTTCTGTTTAGTTGAAGTCGGAAGGGATTGGGAAACTCTATCGTGGACTTCTACCACCTCTTATTATGCGCACATCCTCACGTGCCTTGATGTTCGGTCTCTATGATGAATTCCAAGTAGGGTACATTGTGCAGTTTGGTTGATTTGTGTGGAAACTTGTTGCCATAGCCATGAAGTTCACAAAGGACTATCACAGGCTTTTTACTAACATCTGTAGAAGACATCTCAATTAATTTGTTGACTTTTACCTTCAAATTGTTGACCTTCAAATCCACGTTCTTCAGCGCGTAGTAAGCCTTATTACCCGGGCCAAAAAGTCATTAGCCTTTCTAGCAACACCCTGATTTGTAAAATCATTTCGCACCCAGCACTTGTTAAGAGAGCATTAGTCTGTTGGTCAGAGAATTGTGCGTTGGATGGAAAAGTTCCGCTTTCCAACCTCTTCAACCTCTACATCGTTGTTTGTCCATCGTGCTGTCAGATTTAGTCATAAGATGCTACTTTTTTGATTGGTCGTTACCAAATGAAACGTTGCAGTCTTCTGTCAGTCCAGTCTAGTGCACTTTATCATCTCTTAACTTTTTTTCTTTTACTGCTGCAGTGATTTCTGTGTAGTTAGGAACTTTTAGCTTGTGATTCTATCTGCCGACTACGGAACAGTTACCACTACCTTATGAAGTATAAAGCTTTGGCGTTGATCGGTTGCGTCAAGGGATGCGCCATTCATTTACCTTTGTAAAGCATTGGTAGAGGTAACAGAATGCATATCTGACTTATGCATTAACTTTCGATGACTAACTAATGTGTGAAGTCGGCGCTGTCATCCTAGCAGAGAACTCTGGTACCAATTTTTCGACACTGGAGTGATGGAAGCCTTGGTGAACGTAGGGTGCGGAGTCGAACAGAACATCACGTGTGTATTGCAGGGCACGTCTGACCACTGCGCTCTAAGCGCCCTCTGTTGCTAATAAGCCTTCAGATAGTGATTGGAGACTCTATCTTTAATCAGGCCCTTTAGTCTAGAACATTGTCGTTGACCGTACAGAATCCGTTTTTCGTCACGTGTCAACGCGACTAAATAGCCCACAGTTTTCGTTGTAAGGCAGAATCACATAAAAGGAATTCTGTATTAAAGGTGTCTTTAATTTTCGTTTAATTCTTATGGTGCCAATGTATTCAGTTTGTTCGACTTTCTAGTTCAGTTGAACGTTTCTGATAGTGTTCTATTACTTCTTTCTATTCTTTACATATTTCTTTGGTTTCGATTGATAACCATTCTGATTCTGAGGATTTCTGAGGTCTTTGAGTGAAATCTGCATTTTAGAATAGCATTGTTTTAACCCAAATGCACAGAAAAGGGCGCGCGTGGGGCACTGGTCGGAGTCGACCCCCAGCACACACATGGGGTCGAACTCCACGCCCCTGGCCCGTCAAGCCTTCCATCCCTCCGGGACCGGCAAATTGGTGCCAGACTTGCTTGAGAGGATAGTCGATACATCGGTGGGCCTCCACGAGTCATTGTAAAGGCCAGATATGCATTCAATCACCTCTAACGATGATTAATGAAGTCGAATGCATGGTGTACACCTGAGGGATGGAGAGCCTTCTTTCTCTTTTCTCGCTCGGGATTGTACTTTATAGAGGATGGTTTTTGACTGATTGTTGACTAACAATAATTCGCTTTTCTCAGGACCACCTATCGTGCATGTGTTGGTACTTCATTACCTGGAATATGTTAAAATAGTGTAATTTTTAAAAAATATAGCATAGGGTGTTTTTCGAAACAGGGAGTTCAAGTTTGAGAACACAAAACTGCCAACAGTTTATGAGCAGTGTATATTGATCTCGCTGTCATTTCTGAAATATTGGGGAAACTAGTTAAATCATGGTAGAACTGCCACCCTAAGGGGCGACACTACTGTTTGAAGAAATCAGGAGCTTGCCCCCATTTATCAGTATAGACGAGAAAAAACTTTATTTGAAGTTACTATTGTAACAGAAACTAAAGTCATTTATTTTATATTTCGCTAAAGATTAAAACCAGTTTCGATGAACAAAACATCGATCGCTTACAGATTCTGGACAGATATAGAGTATGGGTGTTGTTGCTGTGTATTCCCAGAAGGTCTTCTGCAGTATTTCTTATCATTATTCAATTGTTTTTTTTTCGAAGAGCCTTAAAATGATCCAGCGCATCTAGGCGAAGGTCAAGGCTACAGGATTTGCGTTCTCATGTTGAGCACTTGTAAAAGGTTCATTGATGGTGTTAGAGACAGAAATGTGAGGTGTCAGAGGTTCAAGCGAGTTTTCTTCTGTTTTAGAAATAACAACGAGTTTTTTTTCGCAGTAATAATGTTCCTTTTTTAGTCTATCCTGAAATGCCCGTATTCTCCACCGAATACATCGTTCACTGTGTGTCATGCCAAAGCAGCATTTCTCGGCAAGGTTTTCTCCATCTTCTAGTTAAATGTTAAGAAAGATTAGCGGCGCTTTTTTAGCACACAAGTATTCCAGACTGAAAAGTTTTTGCAGCCTAGTAGTTTAGGAAAAGATGTATATTCAGTGTTTAGTAGAAGTGAAGTTGTTTTGTGAATATAATTCACATCATTTTTTTTTTGGTTACGTTCCTATAATTGTTTTTCTTGAAAATGTTGTCATTTTTTGCTGATTTATTATCATTATATTATATCATGCATATTGTTATATTTCTACCATGTTCAAGCTGGACTATGCGAAGCATCGCTCTGTCCTCTTGAGCGCGTCCAGGTGCTGCTCCAGACATCTGCTTATCACGATCATTTCAAGAACACTGCTCAAGCTCTACGTGCTCTGAAAGTAAATTAAAGGGCCAAGAACTTTGTTCATTGTTTTTTATCTGTACATTTCCTTGACTTAACGCAAATCACTGTTTCTAGGCTTACGGATATTGTGAATATTATCGGGGAATATCCGTCGTACTAGCAAGGAACAGTTTGTCTAACGCAATTTTTTTCACTCTTAAGGAACCTTTTAAGAAAATGGTATGTGTTTACTAGGAAAACTGCAATTATCATTAATTTCCGCAATATGATTTAAAAGGTGACCGAATTGAGTCCTTCGATCAATCGAACAGCAACTCAGTTGGTCGCTGACTTTATCTCCGGTGCTGTTCTCGGTGCCTTTATTTCCACAATGTTCTTCCCAGTGAACGTCGTGAAAAATCATATGCAGAGCAAGGTTTCATTTCCAGTAAGAGAATTGTTACCCATCTGATAGTATGTGTATTTCAAGGTTGGTGTACCATATGAGAACCCAATTCATGTTTTTTATGAAGTATGGGGAGAACGGCAGAAATCCATTCGCGGACTCTATCTTGGTGTAAGAACATCTCTTTTGGTACGTTTCAAGTTTTTTTTTTCATGATGTCATAAGTGTTTACCTAGGTTCACCTTAATTTTACACGTTCACTGTTGGCATGGGGAATTACGAACACTGTTTATGAACTGTTTCGTCGGACACTACAGCCCTACGAAGGTGAAAGTTGATGACAACTTACCTATCATGATGTTATCTTTCTGTATTCTGTGAAAGTGGATTGTACTCGTCCCGGTGACTTTATTTCATGTGTTTACTATGCATTCCGCCTTTACTCTGTACTGCAGATCTCTGCACCTCACTTTTATCAAACTCACACTCGTGAACTTTCCGTATGTTTATGCTATGTGGAGTGCCTTAAGATGGATTTCCCATGATACTGCTATATTCAATCATTCACATTCATCATTTGGATGGACTTCATACTGGGCAGTCATTTCTGTTTTCTACCATTCTCGTTACAGACGTGTTTTATTAGTCTTTTTCTAATTCTACTTATTTTATCTTTTATTGTTTTCAGCATTGTTGAGAAGAGTAATGTAGGTGCAAGTTCTATGCTATTTTTTCTCCTCCTCTTTCATGAGTTCCGCTTTTTCTTCAAAAGGTTCTATTCTTTGAATTTATACGAGTTTTAGTCGGAATAGTTGTGCAAACCTAGGAAATGGTAGTAATAAAAAATATTTCTCAATCAAAAGTGTTAAATGATATATCATGAATTACAGAAACCGCCGAAACGTCGGCTATTGCATCCTAATAAATTCTATATTAACAACCTCGTGTCTGCTTATTGAAGAAAAACATCGAATTATCAATCAATGTTGAGGTGAAAAGAAAGTCGGTCATGGTAATTATCATGAATTGGTTTCAGCAAAAATGAACGCGTGTACCTTTTGTGAAATTTACGCGTTAGTTGTGTGAGTCCCTATTTATATTCATTTAACAAATTTGAGACCGTTTCCATCGTACTCTTCCGATCCACGTCGGAACGCCTCAGCTCGGCTATCTCCAAGACTTCAAGGAGAATCGACTCGACCAGCAATGATAGGCATTCATGAAGAAAACCAAATCTTCAAGCAGCACCGGAAAACGCACATGAAATGTTTAAAGCGTTTTGTGGACGATGAATGCGACGAAAACGAATCGATTGCAAGAAGTGGTGGAATCCGCACAGTTGATGTGGTGACGGGTCATGTTATCTAGTAATATTTGTTGAGAAAAGCCCCTAAGCTTTCAAGCTTCTGCCAACAAGAGGCAAGGCAAGCTATTTATCCTGCGAGAATGGATTTTTTTCGTGCAGTAAGATACGGTGTTGTCCGACAACCTACACAAAGTTGTTGACACGGTTGAAATGTCGGTCGGTTCACTGCTCTGTTGCACAGCGAAGCAGAGTTTTAGATGTTCTAGGTGGTCGGTAAGTTCTCTGAGATGTACAAACGCAACCCAAGCTGTCCTCATCTATCTGTGTAATTCCTCCCTTGCATTGTTTTTCATAATCAAGGAACGCCAATAGGTATGCTCAGGATGTTGTCTCTGTGATCAGAGAATGATACAGTTGGAATTGTCTAGCTTGACAACATAGGTCTTTCAACAACTAGTTGCTTCTCCCATTTATACGCCTCCATTCTCTTCAGCGTCATTGAGGCCTTTGAACTATTATATCTATTCCACTGGTACTCTTCGAAAACCTGACATTATTGTCACAAGAGCGAAGATTTGATAATAATTTGCCATAAATGCGAAGGTCCTCGTCGCTACAGAGCGACTTTATTACCAACTGCAATGGAGCAGTAAATAGCTTTGACGAGATGGTGTGGTTTATTCCTATGAGGATGGCAAGATGTGATGGAAAATCTTTCTTCGTGTAGCAACTGCTATAATAGTCAACTAGTTTTCTATGTAGGAAAGGTCCACTCCTTACTCAACAAACTCTGAATGGTACACATTCGGTTCAACGTTATCCAACGCTTTGCTGCAGTGGACTGAGGTTGGAGCAAGCGACAGGTGATATTCCCGATAGACTTCTGCGACTATGGATATGTTTCAGAGAGCAAAATCGCTGTTGGGATCCTGCTTGCTTAAGTGATTATACTTCAACCAGAGTTCTTGACATGGACGGTAGGGTGATCATTAAGGAAAACTTGTAGAGTGCACTCAATAAGCAAAATAAGTACACTTACTTACTTGGACACTTGGATGGTCCGTCTTCACGAGTTGTACGGACGGCACATTTGCCATTCGTTTCTTTCCCTCGCAATCGTCGTCCATGGTGGTGGTTTTATTCGAGCATGGTGGTGCGTGCCAGTCTTATATCATGATCTGCAAAACAACTGCAGCTGCGGGTACGCCCGCCCAACGTGTAGGTGGCCGTTCCTGGGAACAGCATTCTCGTGGAGTCCACTCTACAGTTCTTTTCATCCATCTGTCGTCTGTTCTCATTAGGTAACCGGCCCATCTATGTTTCGCTATCGATGTATATTCTTCTCCTAGATCTCGAAGATGTGAAAGATTTCGAAGATCGGAGCTTTGCATTCCTGCTAGATTTTGAAAATGCCGGTTCTATTTCAGAAGACATCGTTCAAGCGCTCTGTGAGTTCTGCGGAGTATTCTTGACGTGGTTGAAGTATCAGCCCACTTGTCTGCAGAATAACAGAGCGCTAGGAGGACCGTTGATTCGAAAAGCTGAGCGCGGATTTGCGGGTCCTCCATCTGGTCGTTGCCTTCTTTGAGAGGTCCAAATGAGGTCGAAGCTGCTCTCCTGTTTCTGTCTACTTCCTCCTTCATGTTGTTCTCCATGTTCACTGATCACCCGAGGTATACGTATGACGTGGTCTCTGCGACCAGAGAGCTATCCAGTTCAATTTTTTCGCCCTCGCACCATGGGTTTTTCATGAACTAGATCTTCTCTCGATTTATGCGCAGTCCAATCCTTCTCCCGCTTCGTTGAGTTCTCGATCATTGCCTCTGCTTTGCTGGTACTTCTCGAGATGATGATGTCGTCGGCGAAACGAAGGTTTGATAGAAATATTCCATCAATACGTATGCCATTCTGATCCCAAACGAAGGACTTCATTACCCACTGCAGTGCGACAGTAAACAGCTTTGGCGATATTGTATCGCGCCGTCGAACCCTTTTTCCTACGGATGTATAAAGAGTTCGATGGAAAAGCCGTATTTTCGTAGTGCAGTTCCGATGACAATCAGATAGTTCTTACGGGGGACAAGTGCACTCTTCGGTCGACGAGGGCTGATAGGATTTCATTCGTTTGGACACTGTCGAACGCTTTTACATAGTCGACAAAGGTTACGGCTAGGGGCACGTGGTATTCCTGACAAACTTCGGTAACCCTGGGCACAGTTCGGATATGTCCATGCAGCGAAATCCTTGTCGAAATCCTGCTTGCTCGACTGGTTGCACCTCGTCCAATGTTTTTGATATGCGCGAGAGGACAATCTTCGTGAAGAGCTTGTAGAGGACACCCGACAAGCATATCGGACGGTAGTTACCAAGATCTCTTCGATCACTTTTTGGGCAGGATAACCGTGCGCGACGTCATCCACTGGTGTGGGATTTTTTCCTTTTGAAGGTAGGCTGCCATGTGGTTTGCGAGAAGTACATGTAAATTCTTGCTTCCAGCGCTAAGGATATCGACGGTGATATTATCGGGTCCTTGAACCGTGCCTCTTCTCATGCTTTCTATCGCAACTCGAGCCTCCGACGGAAGAATTCCAGGTGGTGTTCCTCCAGCGGATTTAGGATCCGAGACGGGGATTGTGGAACGGTAAAGGTTGGTGTAGAACCTTTCCGCTATTAAGTCCATACTATGGCGAGAAGTTTTGACGATCCCATCTTCGTCCATCAGAGCTGACAGCAGAACACTGTAGTCACAAAAATCCCAACGACATTTTTTTCAAACTGATTCTTTACCCTTCCGCTTCCAGTAATTTCTTCTGATTGTACCGACGTAGGTCTTTCTGCAAAGCTCTTCTGAAGTTGGCATTTATTACTAGCCGTGTTAAGCGTGTTGCAGTAGGATCAAGCTCCAGTTTTCTTTTCTTTTTGAGCAACTCTTTACTAGTACTTGAGGTGCGATCCGATCTCCTTGCTTGAGGAACTGAGGCGAATTCAGCACAGATTTTCAGTCCTTCGACAAGCAGCTCGTAGTCTTCGTTCGGGTTTTCTTTAATCTGCCAGTCATGTTTGAATAGGACATCGTTCGGAAAGTTTTCGTCGTATACAGCTAGGCCTTCCTCTCATGGTCAATGAAGTGAATTCTTTTGCAGCTTACGGCTGAATCGAATCTTCGCGCGAAGAAGACGGTGATGTTCAGCGGCGGCTTTACTTCTTCTGGTTAAACGAGGTTCCATGGAAGAGACGTGCTGCAGACAGGAATCGTGGAAGACAGTTCCCATTCCTATTTCTTTCTCCTAATCCAAAACTTATAGTAATGTGTTAGCTGTCGTAGGCCTTTCCTATTCTGGCTTTGAAGTCTATGACAACAAATTTGTCATATGCTTTATCATTGCGGATAATTTCCTCCAACTGATAGTAGAACGCATCCATTTCGTACTCATCAACTGCATCGGTCGGTGAGTAGCAGTTGACGGTTGTGATCTTCTTAGGATGCGTCAATTGAAGAAGGAGGGCGGCTATGCGAGGGGAAAGGATCTCGTACTAGTCGACAAAATGGGCAATGGAAGAGTGTACGACAAAGACTACGCCGGCGACGTTTCGTTGCGGGACCTTTTCTCGACGGATGACAACGGTCCCGTTGTTTAGTTGGAGTATGTCAGTATTACTGAGTTTTGTTTCTTGTAATGCGATCACATGAAATTTAATGCGATCTGCGTCTGTGGAAGGCGTTTTGGCATTATAAGTGCATAGTAGGAAACGATATCTTTGGCGTGTCGTGCGTATGTTCGTCAGATCCGGTTCCAATGACGTCCTGAGTAACCCGAGATTTTCTAGCCTCTCACCGGTCGTACCACTGCCTGACGTCATGAACGAGAGCATCCCGTGTGGGGTATTGAGGCTGGCCTATTGCTGGTCGTGCAACCTTGGTCCTTTCTGGAGTCCTGACGTAACCTTGTAAGAGCGTATCCAGGTCTTCACCACGGTGTGGATCAGAGGGAGGTGAGTCTTTGGCGACGAATCCTTCACTCGGTCTTCCTA